TAGTACCAGATCTCAGAAAGCTCAAAGTCTAATAGGTAAGAGCAACAAGCAGCCCCCTAATTAGAGATGTAATTGCTCAAAGGTTTGGCTCTCTCTTCATTGAGCCAGTTAAGAAGCACTGGAGTCCAGACATCACCATCATTGAAAAATGTAAATAGATCCATCTTGTGCAGTACATCTCAGGAATACCAGAATGAGCATTTATTGATTTAAAGTGTGCACTATGACTTTCTAAAAGCCTTAATTCTTTCTCTGTAAACACTCCCACGTGGCATACTAAATTATAATCAAATAATTGCTTTCTAAATAGAATGAGAGCTACTAATAAAATCTAGTGCTTGAAGGTATGAGACTTTTATCACAAGCTGCCTCCTCTTTTAGGGTTGTAGTTGTTAAGTGCCATTAAGTCCGTTCTGACTCATAGACTACAGAATACAGAATGAAACACTGTCTGCCCTGGACCATCTTCACAAACATTGCTGTTTGAGCCCACTGTTGCAGCCATTGTGTCAATCCATCTCATTGAAGAGCTTCTTCTTTTTGCTGACTCTCTACCTGACCAAGCATGATGCTCTTTTTTAACTCTTGACAGAAGAAGAAAGTCTCATCTCTCTCCCAAAGAGCAGTTGGTGGATTTCAACTGCTAACCTTGCAGTTAGCAGTCCAATGTGTAACCACTATGCCACCAGGACTCCTCCCTCCTAATGACTTGTCCAAAGTACAAGAGATGAAGTCTTATCATCCTCTCTTCTAAGAAGCACTCCAGCTGTACTTTTTCCAGTACAGATTTATTCATTCTTCTGCAAGTCATAATATACTTAATATTCACCTCCAGCAACATGATTCAAATACATCAATTCTTTGGATTTATTTATTCATGGTTCAGTTTTGCATGCATATGAGATGATTGAAAATATCATAGTTTTGAGCAGGCACATCTTAGTCTTCAAAGTGACATCTTCTCAAAAGTGCAAAGAGGTCTGTAAGCAGATTATCCCAATGCAGTTCATTGTTTGATTGCCTGACTGTTGCTTCCATGGGTGTTGACTGTCAATCACAGGCACATTGTCTTGACAACTGCGAGGGTCCTTAGGCGATTACCATCTTCAGCTAGTTACCATTACGTCGGTCCCATCTCTTGGTGACCTCATGTACGACAGAACCAAACACCATCCAGTCCTGAGCCGTCGTCCCAACTGCTCTGAAGTTTGCGCCCATTATATTGCAGGCCCTGTATCAATCCACCTCCGTGAGTTCTCTTTTTTGCTAGCCTTCTAATTTCCTAAGCGTGGTGTCCTTTTTCAAAACTGGTCTCTTCTGATAACATGTCCAAATTAAGTAAGAAAAAGTGTGCAACCCTTGCTTCGAAGGACATTCTGGTTGTACTTCTTCCAAAAGATTTTTTTTCTCTTTCTGGTAATCCAGGAGACTTTCAATATTCTTTGACTGCACTGTAATTCAAATGCATCGGTACTTCTTGGGGCTTTCTTTTTCATTGTCCAATTTTCACATGCATAGGAAGTGCTTGAAAATACTATGGCTTGAACCAGGTACACTTTACTCCTTAAAATGACACCCTTGTTCTTCAACAATTTAAAGAGGTCTAATACAGCAGATTTTCCCACTACAGTATGTTGTTTGATTTATCGACTGTTGCTTCCATGTGCTTGGTTTGGGGATCCAAGCATCATGAAGTCCCTGACAACCTCTTTCTTTACACTGATAATCCACACGGAAGACTGCAGTTCTTGATTTTCATAAGCCAGTGCTTAAGTTCTCCTTACCTCCAGAAAGCAAAATTGTATCATTTGCATATTGCAAGTTGTTCATAAGCCTTCCTCCAACCCTGATGATACGTTCATCTTTATACAGTCCAGTTTCTCGCATTATTTGCTCTGCATACATATTGAATATCTATGGTGAAAGGATATAACCCTGATACATACCTTTCCTAAGTTTAAAGTACACAGTGTTATTCCCTTGTTTTGCCTCAACTACAGTCTCTAGATCCATGTCCTTTATGATATGGACAACCCCACCCCACCCCCCAAAAAAAGTTTGAGTTCTTGAGAAATGGAAGCTTGTTCTCTGAACAGTGCCTAGACAGGCACAACCTCTGGGAGTTTCTTCCCTACCTCCACTCTATACCACACATTCTTTCACTAGAGACCTGCATATGAGCATATTCAATTGTACTCAGGTCTAACATGACTAGATTGGGGGACAACTTATTCCTTTACTTGGACTGCCTCTATTATGATTCAACTAGGGCATTACTTTAAAATCTAAATTCTCAGCAAGCCTTGGTTGTTATTTTTAAATTTGGGGGATGATGTCTTAATAGCAGGGTTTCAAATGAAAACATTAATAATAATGTCAGCCAACATTTGGATGCTTCTTACATTGCAGGCACAAAGATAAATGCTCCCGACCCAGTGTGTAAAGATATGTAACACCCCAGAACATGCTGGCTAAGCACTAGTATGCATAGAACATTTATGAAAACAAGCTAATGAGACCACAGAAAATCATAATGTGAAGATAAGCCTATAACGCCTTTGGAAAAGAGAATTAGATGATCAGATTTGATTCTTAGAATAATCTCTAGAATGACTATGTAGAAATGTTAAAAAGATGAGGCAACCCTAAATACAGGAAATAATTTAGGAAGTTATTTCAGTAATCTACAGATAAGCAGAATCGGAAGTGAGGGAGCACCATGCAGACAGCACAAAGGGAGTAGAGGCGGCTCGGGTTCACAGAATGCAGTGATACGCTCTCTGGGGCAATGAGAAGGCAATTGCTATGGGTGCAGCTGAGGTGTGCAAGGCTGTGGTTAGATGGTAGAGAAGGCATAAAGAAAGTCAGGAATAAAAATCAGATTTGGAACAAGGTAAAAGGATGCTCTAAATATGATTACTTTGATGAGCATTTGTTTTACCGTGAGCTGGTACAGAGGCAGCACACTCAGAGCAACAGGAGTGGCTTCGCCAAGCTCCTTCCCTGGGAGCTACATTCAGAATCTCAGCATGAAGCCATCCTCCTTCTGAACTGTGTCTGTGACCACTACAGTTCAGGGTCATTGTAGGTTTTTATGTGTTTGGGGTTGATTCAGTTGGTTATTGTTTTTTAGTCTGGGAACACTCAAAAGCTTTTGCTTTGTAAATTAATGGTCATTGGTTTTTCATTTTATGTTATTTTCAGTTTCTGAAAAGTTTCATGTGAATGTTCTACTTTTGAATATCAGGCGAATCTGTATCTATTTGTTTGTTTGTTTTTTTATTGCTGCATAGATCATTTCCCTTAATCTCACCCAAAAAACCCAACTCTATGAGGCCACATATATCAAGATTTAGCTGCAGGAAACAAGCAAACAATAATAATAGCAAAAACATCCTAGCTATTTTAGGATTGAGTACAGGAAATTGGCTTCTTATAAATCTTTAGAACGGTTGGGAGAAAAAAACATTTGGGCCAGAATCACACCGCAGAACTAACTTGCCTTGCTAGCTGCTATTTATACTACAAATCATGAACGTGAAAAATCAAGACTTCAAAAACACCACTTTCAATTCAGACACCAGGAACTGACACTTATGCACTTAGGTCACAATTGAGTCACATCAACAAAACAAATAGAAGGCATATGCTCTGCCTCTGGACACCCACCCACCCCCACCTCCCACCCCAGAGCTAGTGATTCCACCCTGGAATGCTGCTGAAGGAAAAGACCATGTGTCCCTGCCTTGGCTTTCCCTGGGAAGATCAGGAAGCTGCACCATCTCCATTTTAGACGTTCTCACCATAGAGCCGGTTAGAAACACCAACTCACATACTGTCCCTTAGTTACAAGAGACTATGGGAATGTTAGAGTGTTAGTTCGTTGTTTAGCTCTGTAACCTCTACAATACAGAGAGGAAGACTAGTGTGGATAGTGAATGTTGGCTATTATATTTTCCTACCTGAACTTTCTAGCCATTCAACCACTTTCTCTCTTAATTTGAATCAATATCCTTGACCTTGTGGCTTTCTCTCAATTACTGGTTTCATTCAGGCACCATTTAATTTTACTATCCAAATGGATACAAGGTGGCATCAAGTCGGTTCTGCCCCACAGCGGCCTAATGCACAGCAGAATGAAACTCTGCCCAGTTCTGCGCCATCCTCACAATTGTTCCTATCCTTGGGCAATTGATGCAGCTACGGTGTCAATCCATCTCCTGGAGGGCTGCCTCTCCTTCACTGCCCTACTTTACCAAGCATCATGTTCTTCTCCAGGGACTTGTCTAGAGACAAGACGAAGTCTTGCCACCCTTACCTCTAAGGAACAGCCTGGCCTTACTTCTCCCAAGACAGATTGGTTTGTCTTTTTAAAAATCCATGGGACTTTCAAATGCAACCATTCTTTTTCTGTCTTCTTTATTCAATGTCCAACTTCCACATGCTTGTGCGGCAATGGAAAATGCCATGACTTGGGTCAGACACAGCTTAGTCCTCAAAGTAACACCCTGTTTTCAATACTCTTAAAAGGTTTGGTGCAGCAGATTTGCCTAATGCAAATCATCTTTTGATCCCCTGGCAGCTGTTTCCATGAGCATTGATTGAGGATCCAAGCAAGATCAAATCCTTGACAACTTCAATTTTTTTCTCCATTTATCATGATGTTACCTATTGGTCCAGTGGTGAGGATGTTGGTCTCTACATTGAGTTGTCATCTATACTGAAAGCTACAATCTTTGATCTTCATCAGTAAGACCTTGAGCCTCCTCACTTTCCTACAGCAAGCAAGGTCATGTCATCTGCATATCACAGGTTGTGAATCAGCGTTCCTCCGATCCTGATAATCTTCCACATATAAGCCAGTTTTCACGGAGTATTTGCTCAGCATACAGATTGAATCAGTATAGTGAGAGGATGCAACCCGGATGCCCACCTTTCTTGATTGTAAGCCAGCCAGTATTCCCTTGTTCCATTCTCTCAACTGCCTCTTGATCCACGGACAAGTTCTGAATGAACACAAGGAAGTGTTCTGCGATTCCCATTCTTCGCAAGGCTATCCATCGTCTGTTATGGTCCACACAGTCAAATTCCTTGGCATAGTCAATAAAACACAAGTAAACACCTTTCTGGTATTCTCTGCTTTCAGCCAAGATCCATCTGACATCAGCAATGACATCCCTTGTTTCACATCCTCTTCTGAATTTCCCCTACTTGTTGGTCTACCACAAAGGCTTCTTGAAGGATAGCAAAAGCAACTACGAATGGCATCTGTAGACGGGACAGGTGTGATAGGCTGTGGGCAAATATGAACGAGAGTGGGAAGGAGACTTTCATTGAGTCATGTTTTATTCATGATTATTAAACCATGTACATGCAATACCCATCCAAGCAATTATTTAATTCATAAGAAAAGCAGAACTACCAAGAATAATAGCCTAGAAAAGAAAAATACTTGTGGGAACATGGTGGCTCAATGCAGTAAAACCTTTAAAATCTGTAATGTCTATTAAAAAGGACCATTAGGAGGGTAAAATTATCAAAAGTTACCAGCTACAGTAACCTTTCTCTGGCACACAACTCTCTAACAACACCATGTTAAAATTACAACTGAAGTTGGGAAAGAAGGAAGCAGATTTTAAAGAAAAGAAGACAAGTTATCAACAGGAATAATAATATTTTACCTTGTACCACTTGCTTAACTCCAAAACACAACTCTCTGGGAAGTTCAAATGGCATGTAAGACTGTCATCTTTCCCAAAATGAAGTGTTTGTATATACTCGTCTGATAAATTCGTTGGGCTTTTTCTGGATGTACGACACCAATATTTTTTAAAAACAATCAGGTTCACATGTATTCTGTAACAGCTGTCTACAGTCCTATAAGAAAATAGCAGAGTGAATCCTCATAAATACTTAAACAATTACAAAATGTAATTATTAAGTTCATCTCCAAATATTTCCAAATAATTTTCAGAACACTGTGCCTGCTCTCTGCCTTCAAGCAAAGTAATATGCTCCCCACACATTATTGATCAAAAAAGAAAAAAATGGAGACTGGAAACACTAGACACCTTAACAAACTAATCAAGATTAACATCTCCAACGAGGTCTAATGGACTTCAAGTGCATCCCAATTCTATAATGTGAAAACGGCACAAATATATAGCATCCCATTCCGAACTACACAACTTAACCTGAATCATGACGCAACATCTGACAACCTCGAATGGAGAGATATAGTATAAAATAATTGGCTTGCACTTTTCAAAATCACCATGTCATGAAAACAAAACAAGAAAGAGCTCTGACTGGATTAAAAGAGATTAAAGATGGATGACAACCACACAACATGCATGATTCTATATTGGATCATGGAAAAGGAGAGGAAAAGGTTACAAAGGTCATCATAGGGATGTCTGGAAAAATAGGATATAGATTATAGATTGGATTAAAATGTTGGATGAGGGGGAAATTGGCTACATTGGATAACTATATGTGGCTAATGTAAAATGATTTTTTGGTAAAAATAATGCAAAAACCAGACTCACTGCCATAGAGTCAGTATGGATTCATAGTTATCCTATAGGACAGGGTTGAACTGCCCCTGTAAGTTTCAGAGACTGTAACTCTTTAAGGGAGTAGAAAACCCCATCTTTCTCCAGCAAAGTGGCTGATGGTTTCGAACTGCAAACCTTGTGGTCAGCAGCCCAGCACATACCACTATGCCACCAGAGCTCCTTAATATATTAAAAGATAATGAATTTATGTGAAGGGTGGATAGGAGGAAGTTCTTTATATTATTCTTTCAAGTGTCATATACATTTGAGATTATTTCGAAATAAAAAGTAAAAACAGACACTTCACTAAAAGACCTCTGCCAAGACATGTTCATTTTTTCCATGACAGACAGTACCTATGTCTAATTAAGACCATACTTAATGGTGAGTGCTGCCTTCAACAGAAGACAAGACATTCCTGGGGAAAAAAAAAAGTTTCATCTTTATTTCTACGAAAGATAATTTTTCCCATTTCACTACTCCAAGATACAGATATTTTAAATCCAAATCTGACATTAGATGAATTTACAATCTCCAACTCAAATGGATAATTACTAGCCCAGAAAAAATGAGAGCGTGGAGCACCATAAAAGCTGTGGGGGTCTTAACCTATATGGGGAGTCCGGTGGTGGAAATGGACCAGGCAAACAAGGCACATTGCACACTTCCATTTGTGCAGCACTAAGTAACTTTACATGGTCACTACATGGAATTACAGGACTGGGCATGATTCAGAGCGGAACAGGGGTCGTTTTGGGACACAGGAAAGAGCCAGAAAATATCATCACACCAGAGCAAGAGAGGGACAATGCCACTTTATGGGAGTACATGTAGTGCCTGCTTCATGTATGTTCTTCCCATTAATTTTCACTCCAACCTTATAAAGCTGGCTAAACTCGGATTTTACAAATAAGAAAAGTGAGACTCACAGAAATCAAGTCATGTGTTAAGACAGTACAAGTCAAATACAGGAAGGTTACACAGTGTTGGCCCTCAGGCCAAATTTGATTCACTGATGTATTTTATTCAGACTACACAAAGCTTTATGAATTGAAAATTTTTACACACACAGCAAAATCTAATTTCCAGACTCCTTTGAGAAATTGGGGACATGGACTTCAGCAGGGCATATACTTTCTAGTTTACCAAAGTCTCCACTAATCGCAATTGTCTCATACCAACCTGCATCATTCATTTACATTACTTCCTAGCATACATTTGGAACATATTATATGACGCTTACTACTTGCTGAGTCCCTAAGTTATTGTGGGGTTTGGAACCTACCTGATGCTTACTAATTCCCTTAAACAGAAAAAGGTGCTTAAAGAAGGGTTTATTCCTATTAAAACGTGTCATGTATCACACACACACACACACACACACACAAATGTAGGATATTACAAGAAAAATAGAAAAATACAAAATAACCTGGGATAAATGATCTTTGTCAGCTGGCCTGACCCACCGCATCATTTCAGCAGTAAAAGATGTATTTCAAAGCCTCCAGTAGTTAGAGGCCAAAGTTCACTAGTCTCCATCAGGGGGATCAGGAGGAAGGGCGTTGAAAGGGAATTCACTTCCAGGGGACTGAGCCTTTGCGAGGGGGATGGGAAAATTGGAAAATGATCGTGGTGGGACAGCACGATACACACAACTAATGTCACTGAACTGCATATGTGAAAAAATTCTTAAAGGCAAATGATTTGTTACATGTGTATTAACCACAACCAACATTAAATATTTAAAATAATATTTAAATACTACTACTTATTATTCAAATATTTTAAATAATAATAAATACTAGGCATGCAAAAAAGGTCATTTTCCTGACAGAATGCTTTCTATAGATCCGCACAGCGAGGGAGAAAGAGGAAGAGAAAGTAATCTATTTTAAATGAGGAACTTACTTTATAACACATTGATAAATCCCCGCGTCCCTCTGGGTCATGGGGAGGAACAAAATCCAGCTCTGTTCTTGGTGAATTCTAGACTGTAAGTTCTTGGATATTGGGATTTTGTTAGTGTTTCTAAACCATGTTATATTCACTTCCTCAAGTGTTTGTGGAGGGAGAGTACAATTAAAAGCAAAAGGCTGGCCCACTGAGATCATCTCATTTTTCACACTGATGTCCTTGCAGTCATCTATGGAAAGAAAGGAGAGACAAAGAGGCTCAGCCATAAAGAAAGCACAATGTCTTATTTGCTTGCCATTAGTTGTAGCAAATGCCTGTTTGATTTTCACCAAAGTAAACTTTCATTGGGGAGTATTTTTCATCCAGGGTTGTCCTAAAATCAAACAAACACAACACTCAATACAGTGTGCTGATCCCAAAGCAGATGTTGAAATTCTACAAATGTGTTCAGAGACAGAATTTATTGAGCCCCCTAGTCCAAGCCATCTGCCCCATTTGGAATGATTTCCCGCTTTATCCTCTAAATATGACCCTTAAGTTTTCATTCTCTTCCCACAGTGTAAGCTTCCCTCTGGAATGAAAAAAGTGGACTACCCTGTGTCACGAGCAATTCCAGTGGGACAGCGGAATGACACAGTGGGACAGCGGGACAGAGCAATTCCAGTGGGACAGCGGAATGACACAGTGGGACAGTGGGACAGAGCAATTCCAGTGGGACAGCGGTCGCACACCGGGCTGTCAGGGGTTTGTAACTACCAGGGGCTTTCTCTGGAGAAAACACAAACGACAGGCGCGTTCTAATCCTGTCAAGAGTTAAAATCTCAGAAACCCACTGAGGCAGTCCTACCTGTCACAGAATCGCTTTGTGTGGACGTAGACTCAATGGCAACTCGTTTCTGTGTTTTAGATTTTGGGCCACGAGGGACTTTTAAGCAAAAATTCGGGACCCTTTAAAGTTGATTTTTACAAAATTGCTTAATGTGTTGGGGAAAATGTCAACGTGGATGGTTTCGGTCCCTTCCCCAGGGTCCGTGGAATGACCCTTTGACTAGGAAATAAGCAGTAACCAAGTGCTGGGGGATGCAAATGGTGGTGAGCCCCTGGGGTGTCAGAGTCCAACTGTGCTCCTAGGACTGTGAGTGTCTATTGTTTGCAGTGGATGAGCAGGCTTGAGCGCTCTTCTGCGGCACCACGAATCATGCTCGAACCTCCAACCTTGGGTTCGCATCCCTTTGGGTGGCATCCCTTGGGCCTCCAGCACATACAGCGACCATATTGTATTCATTTTAGCCTAAATGTTTCCCTTCCAATATCCTACCAAGATATATTATAAGTACATCGTTCACTGCCTGAGGAAAAATGAGAATATTAGAAAAGCATTGCAAATTAGGACATCATTCATGTAGCCAGACTCCGTCTTTGGAGTTGGTTGGCTGGTCCTGTTAGCCTATTAACGCAAGCCAGCCCTTGAAATTTTGCGAACTCCCCTCCCTCCATTATCACCTCCAAGTTCAAAGGTGAGAATGAGGGATCCAGCCTGAGAGCATTCTCCCCATGCCCTAGAATTCCATCTGGCCATCTAGGGGAATTAGCAAGGGTCTATTCTCACGCCAGGACCCCAGGAGCTCCACACAGTGCGCTGGACAGGGCGAGGCAGGGCATGAGAGGGTGAGGGAGGGCACTTACCTGCTTTGACAAAAAGTGGGAGGGCGAGGGACACCCCGCAGAGCAGAAAGCAGGACATCTCCATACTGGGCTACAAGAATAGAGAAGACTTCAGGAAGAAGGTAACAGTGAGAGGGCAGAGCGCCTGCAGCTAGGCGCAGCGAGCCCACTGGGGCCGCCCCGAACCGCAGATTCCAATTCCGGTTCGGCACCTTGGATCTCGGAGCCCACGTTGGCCTGGCTGCGCCCGCAAAGGCTCCCCATACCCTGCTCTTCTCTCCTTTCTGGGCCCTGTCCTCGTAGGTCCAGGCGCAGAAGGTACAAAGAGCTCCCCCGCCCGCTGGCAGGCTCCCAGGGGACTGGCTGGGAGATGCGGGAAAGCGAGTGGAAAGCGGGCGCCATTCCTGGCTCCCACCTGCAGCGGGGCAGGATCGGCGCCCCGCGCCCCACGAAGGTTCCAGCCTCCCTCCAGACCTCGGGCGTCCAGGGCTTCCCCGCGCAGCCCCGAGTCCTGATGCCAGGGGCCCGGGCGCCTGCCAGCGCGTCCCGGCGCCCACGAACCTGCTTCCTGCCGAGAGAGAGCTCACCTTCTGGATCCGCCTGAGCCGGGGGATTTCATCGGAAAACCCAAGCGCGGGCATCCTAGGAAGAAGCCCGCCGAGGCCTACCGGGGGGTAAAAAAGTTGCACGGAGAAAAGGAGCCATGGACGGAATGCCACCACGCCTTGATGGCTGACACCAGTTTTATTCTCCGGCTGGAGGAAGAATGCGGCTCCACCCCCACCGGCACCCATGCCAGGCTCAGCTTTGTCTACTCCCACAGAGGCACAGTCTCAGGCATTCATAGGGGCAGTTCTACCCTGTCCTACCGGGTCGCTATGGGTCCGCATTGACCCCCTGGCAGGGAGTTAACTCTACACCTTTCTCTACTGGTCATAGGCGAACACCCCTCCCCACCCCTTTCCCCCTGCTCCTGGCTCAGCCCCAGATATCCCGACCCCATTCAAATTGGAGATGACCTGAGTGTTCGGACCTGAGCATCCGCGGAGTTGCCAGAGAATACAATACAAATACAAGAGCCCTGTCAAGGTATTTCCACTCCAGGATAATCCCTGGTCACCAGTGGTGGCGTAGCAAGGAACTAGCGTGGCTGTAGGAAGTGGGTCTTAAAATCTTTTTGTATCTAATCTTCTAGCAGTTAAAAGAAACTATCTTAAATCTGCTTCCACGTGTCCCAATAAATGAATTATTCTTTTCAAGCTCTCTGAGCAGTTATTACAGCCCAGCAGTGGCCTAAATTGGAACACCAAAGGCGATCCTATACAGTTTTTGATATCATTAACAGAAATCCACGTAACAGAAGCCTCTTCTGCTACCAGTAGCCTGAAAAGTGCAACTGTCTAAATCCAAACAGACTCACATAGGCCTCCTGTGGGTTTCTGAGACTGTAACGGTCTACAGGGGTAGAAAGCCCAGTCTTTCTCCCACGGAGCTGCTGGAGGTTTCGAACTGCAGACCATGAGGCTGGCAGCCAGTACACCACCAGGGCTCCTTTCAATCTTTGGAATAGGATGATAACAGAGACAGGTGTGCCTGTCATTAAGGGACACCCTGCAATAATCCACAGACCACTAAGATTAGAAAATAGCAATCTCCAAGCAGCAGAAAGATTTCTGGTCAAACTCTTTCTGCTGATCTTTATGGATCACCTAACTAGAGGCACCCAGTAACAGACTTAGCAGCAAAAGTCCCTGTGATCCCTCAGAGGCCAGCAGCTTGCAAAGTATGTCACTCTTAAAAACCATTTAGGATTCCAAAATGCCTTTATTTATGTGGGTTACATCTGTTTAGATTTACTATACTGGAATTCAAATCAAGGAAAGAAATTGAACTTTTATTATCTGTTATTTTATTATAATTATTGTCATATGATATTGTGAATAAAATGATTTTATCAATTTTATTTATTTTCAGTAATAATAAGCCCATTACAGATTAGCACAAATATCATACATTTTATGAAAAACAACTGTAATTTCCTAAATGAATAGACTGAAAACAATGATATTGCTTTACATGTTTTCCATGCTTTCCATGCAGATCTCTTTAATGTCTGCTTTAATATAAGACACTTGATTCTCACATGTGCCTCTGCATCCAATTTCTTATGATATAACACGTGTAGGTCAGAATCGGCTCAATGACAGTGAGTCTGGTTTTTGGTTTGAGCCCTATAATAATTATTAAAGTAATCAGGTATGGGGATTCATGATAGATTATGCATCAGGTAACTTCCACTTAAAATTCTTTGAAATGTAAAGACCAGTGATTTTCCCAGGAAGGAAGAAATCAGAACCTAAGTGAGAGGCCCCAGCTGGTTTGCTGAGTTACGGACACTTCATCCTTGAGGATAAGTGTGTTAGTCTGGGTAGACAGAGAAGCATATCCACAGAAACTCATATGTGTATAAGAGAGAATTTTATATAAAGGGTAATTGTACATTAAGAAAAAAAAAAGCATCTCAACCCAGTCCAGTCCAAGCCCATGAATCCACTATTAGCCCATGTGCCTGATACCAATCTATAAAGTCCTCTTCAGACTCACAAAACACTTGCAATGATGCTGAATGCAGGACGATCACAGGCCAGTGAGTAGAAAGTCTTTGGATCCAGTGGCGTTGTAAGCATCTCAGCGCTGGCAGGGGTCTCCACATGGTTTCTCTGGCTTCAGAGGTCAGGTTGCATCAGGGTAGGTCCATGTGGCTTCTTCAGCTCAGGGCACTAGTGTAGTTCCATGTGTCTTGTCAGTAGAGCATGTCCAAGAGAGTGGAGTAGTGAGAGAGAGGCTCTCCAGCCTCCAAGGAGGAAATAGCAGAGTTTTCCCAGAATCCTCAGGGGAAGACCATGCCCACAGAAGCCTCATTGGCTGTGGCTGTGACCCAATTGACAGACTAGACTCCACCCCTTCACTCTTAATCCTCTTAAATCCCAAATTGACACCAGATTATGTAACTACCACAATAAGCTATTAAAAAATTTATATGAAGAAGAAAGGGGCTCTGAAACCCACCATTCCTTGTATAAAATGCACTGAACTAAAGCAAAACAGCATTTACAATGATAACAATAGAAACAGTGGAAATATAAAGATCCCAAAATAGAGTAGCAGGTTTTTTCCATATTCACCCCAAGAGGAAAATAAATTACTCACAAGTTCACTTTAGAAGGGAGCAGGATAGTTAAGATGAGATACGCCATATTGCGATACGATGTTAGCACCATTGTCAGGAATTAAGCACCACCATCAGATTTTACTACACAAGGTAACTATCTCCTTGGGCTGCAGTGAAGGTGTCAAGAGCTATTATGTTTTGGAATACTACTTTTTTGTGTTTTTTCATGAAAGCTCTTTTGGTATTGAGCTCTTGAAGTCTACGACACTGTCATTTGGGGAATTTTGCATATATTTAGTTAGTACTTCTTCATGTGCCATACATCTAAGTCCTCTCAGGTATAAATATTGCTTCTAAATGATTATACCAGTGAAATATTGATCAAGACTGCCAAGTCCTTAGCATCGGTGCATTAACTGGTAAAGAGAGTTCAGTTAAAATACGCCTGCGAGGTCACCTGAGGCCCCAAAGGCATCTTTCAATGCAGCCTGGCAGGTGGCAGGGCCAAAAGTTGTTTCCACAAAGCCTAAAGGTATCTTTAGGGGCAACCCAATAGATAGCTGGTGGAAAACCAATCAGTAGCTTGTAAGATTATAATTGGTGTACATTCAGTTATTCGAAGCCATTTTATAGGTCTGATGAGGGCTGGATTATTCATAAGGGCATGACTAGATTATTCACAGCAAAAGGGACCAACCTAATTTAGTATCCCTGCAAGAAGAGTTAATCAGATGAATCCACCCTGCAGTTATGGATGTGGACCTCTAATATGAAAAGTAAGGTTTGTAGGTTTGGATGATTCTGTAGTTAACTCTTCTTAAGCAACTTTATTCAGTAAAATAAGGATTGTGTTACCACTAAAGGTTAAGTTATAGAAAATCCAGTAAAGGTAATTTCCTGTAAAACGGCACTATTTCTCTGTTGTTCTTGTATCCACAAACCGCTCAGTCAGATCCCTGCAGTGGAAAGCCCCACCAGCAAAGACTGGACTTGACAGTACCACACCTGCAACAATTAAACCCAATCCAGGGGAACGTTTCTAGAGGCATTCGTTTACAGTAAAAAGAAGTTTATTTTTTAGGCCTGGTTCGGGAGGGTCTTAGGTCAGCCATCTATCTACTTCTGGGTGTGGTCACAGTGATGTCTGAATTTTAACCTAAATCCTTCAGTTGGTTAAACAGTCTAGGAAGGCACTTTTGCCCTCTGCAGTTGAGATAGTACCTCCAGGTTTTGACTACTTGCAATTCGGTGACAGTAGAGTTAGTAACAAGGGCCCAGAAGAATCCTCTCCTGTGAGGCTCCCTGAACTCTTTTCATTGTTGCTTCTTGTCATATACAGAGTCACTTTGTTCAATCGTAGGTAATGTTCATTTTTCTAAACTTTGGTTGTCGAAAGCTCCTTTGACTCATGAAAGGTGCTCTGTAGATTACTGAATCAAAGTTTGACAATATTAAGTAAGTTAAAATATAAGGGAGGGTAATAGAGCTTCTAGTAATAATTTCATGTGGGGCTAGTTTATGAGATTTCAATGGAATGGACCTCAAATTAAGAAGGATCGGGAAAAGGAGTTTAGTACAGGAAAAGAATGCAGAAAACTGGTGAAATGGGTTTTTACTATATCATTAGTTAGTTCTTTTTACTAACCTAGAGTATTGTTAATGATAAGCACAGTAATATATAGTAAATGTTTAATGTATTTCTTTGATTACTAGCCCAGTAAAATGAATTCCCTGTCACTGCAAAGAATTTCTGGGACTCCCTAAATGGGGATTACATGTAAAGGAGTTAATTTAGGTAGCTCAAAAGAACCAAAAAGTAGCACCAATTTTCTAGACTGTCTTTAGTGAGAAAGTTTCAAGCAGATAGGTACTATCAAACAGCACAGTGTTTGTTGATATATATAACAGAAATCCTAGAAGTGAATGCTACATTTCTGATAAATATGGTACTTGCCATCTTCAAAGACAATTCAAGTGTGTTTTAAGCTTTGTATTAGTCTGGGTACTTTGGAGAAACAAATCCACAGCAACTCATGTATAAGAGAGTTTTATGTAAAGAAAGTGTGCATCACGAAAACATCCCAACCCAATGCTGCCCAAGCCCACAAGTCCAACATTAATCCATTAGCCCAATACCAGTCCACAAAGTCCTCCACCTCACAAAACAGAGGCAATGATGCTGACTGCAGGAGGAAAGCTGAGTCAGCGAACGAATAAGCATCTCAGCACTAGCAGAGGTCTCCACACGGCTGCTCCAGCACCCAGGGCTGCATCAGGATAGGTCCATGTGGCTTCTCCTTGGGGATGTCTTGTAGGAAGTCAATCTTGCAAGCTGAAGCAAGGAACTGCTAAGACAGCTGCACCCTGGTGCGACCATCACAAAGCAAGAGACCCGAGAACTAGAAAGGCAAGGCTCACCACCCATTTATCCCTCCGCCTTTCAATTAGCCCCACATGTGATTATCGGCCAGTTAGCACAATTAATTAACTCAATC